AGGTAGTAGTTCATTATAGTAGCTCAATAGAAGGTAGTAGTTCATTACAGTAGCTCAATAGGAGGTAGTAGTTCATTACAGTAGCTCAATAGAAGGTAGTAGTTCATTATAGTAGCTCAATAGAAGGTAGTAGTTCATTACAGTAGCTCAATAGGAGGTAGTAGTTCATTACAGTAGCTCAATAGAAGGTAGTAGTTCATTATAGTAGCTCAATAGAAGGTAGTAGTTCATTACAGTAGCTCAATAGGAGGTAGTAGTTCATTACAGTAGCTCAATAGAAGGTAGTAGTTCATTATAGTAGCTCAATAGAAGGTAGTAGTTCATTATAGCAGCTCAATAGGAGGGATGTAGCTCGTGTTCTATTACAATTCATCTACGATGCTTGTTTTTGGAGGATCGGAGGAAGATCGTGTTAGTCTTTTATTGAAAGAAGGGTTAACAGTCAGAGTATTAGCAGTCCAATGACTAATCTGAATTCTTCCATGTTTCCTGAACAGGTGGAGATCGCTAAAATGCTGGTGGAGGATGCAGGCGTGGATGAGGGAAGTATTGTGGTTCTTTCACCCTATAATGCTCAAGTATCTGCGATCAGAGAGGAACTGAAGAGGATGAAATTGGGGAAAATTACAGTTACAACGATCACAAAAAGCCAAGGTAACAGTTTTATTCTTCACTTCCAAACAAACTATCAAATGAATCAATGTTAGATTTTCAGAGTATTCATTTTTTTAATTTGTTTTAGATTAATTCCTGAATCTTCCTACTAGAGTGAGGAAGGATGATTCAGGTTTTCCAGAACTTTCCATTGTATTGTATTTAGGCCATCTGCATTTTGAGTTCTTGGTTTGGGTCATTGTGGTGTTTCTCCTTGTGGTTTTGGAAATGTTGGTATCTTTTTGTGAGAATGCCTGTATGCATTCTCACAAAAAGATGGAGCCCACTTACAAAGAATGCAACGATCTATAACTTTAATCATATGTACATTCTAACAGTGAAAGACAGAATCCCAAAAACACATTTCATTCCAAGCAGGAACAGCATAACTCATAGTTCCCCTTCATGTTGAAGATGAAATCATTATCTTTTGCAGTTATTTGTAGCAGTATAAGTTAGGGATGGGACGGTTTCTGAAACCCGTCTGAACCGTTGGGTTCTGTCTGGGTTGGGTTGGCGTGTGTTGG